TTGAAGATAGGCTACAGATACAGGCGGATCCAGACAGGCTTGCAAGTTGGGCGGATTGGAACCAGATGAAATTCAATATCGAGAAATGATAGGGAGGAACAACCCCCTGCACACCTAGTCTTGGTAATACCAAACTGACTAGCACCACGAATGAAAGGGACCTGGGGGTAATAATAGACCATAGCATGAATATGAGTCAGCAGTGCGATGCTGTAGCCAGTAAGGCAAATAATACTTTGGCATGCATCAATCGAAGCATCTCCAGCAAAACCAGGGAAGTGATTCTTTCACTCTTACTCAGCATTGGTGAGACAACAGCTGGAGCACTGCGTCTGGTTCTGGGTGCCGCACTTTAACAAGAACATGGTAAAGTTTGAGAGAGTCCAGAGCAGGGCCACCCATATGATCAGAGACTTGCACGGCAAGACATATGAGGAACGGCTGAGGGATCTGGGACTCTTCAGTCTGAAGAAGAGAAGACTGAGGGGGGACTTGGCAGCAGCTTACTGCTATATCAGGGGTGTACATCAAGGGCTTGGTGAACAACTGTTCACCAGGGCACCCTTGGGGAAAACCAAGAGTAATGGTCACAAACTCCTAGAAGACAGTTTCAAGCTCAACATTAGGAAAAACTTCTTCACAGCTAGGGTGACCAGACTGAAATAAGCTCCCTCCAGAGGTGGTGCAATCGCCTACCCTGGAAATCTTCAAGAGGAGACTGGATGGTCACCTTGCTGGGATCACCTGACCCCAGTTGTCTTTCCTGCCTGGTGCAGGGGGGCTGGACCCGATGATCTTCCAAGGTCCCTTCCAGCCTCACAATCTATGAATCGATAGATCTCATGGAGTACTGCTCTGAGGACTGGTTCACTGAGTTGCTGATAGTCTCTGTAAATGAAACACTTACTGCCTCCACTGTAGTCATGATTATGGGGAAGGCTAACCTCTACAGTAGCTAGAGACTTGCTCCAACTTACTGCTCTGCTTGGATATCACCATTTATCTCTAGTCAGCCCAGCACTGGTACAGTGTCTATTGAAGCCTGCAGTTTAGAAAGTACAACAGGAAGCCAAATTTTAAAAATGCATGTTAGCACTTGGGATAATTTGATTCTATGTTTACCTATTTATCAAAGTCTAAAGGAGATGCTGTGCATGCTCTGTCTACTCAGGTATATTTGTGGGCTTCAATCTGACTTGCAGAATGCTCTTGTGTTCCATTTTTGGGTTCCCCTTTATTGCTAAGCTAATAGCTTCTCTTATTATCTGTAGCTTCCCCCCCCCACTCCAAGTGAGACCATGTCACTATCCATGCATTCTGGGCTGTACAAGAATAATTTCTTTGTTGTTTAATAGTTGCCTTTGCATTAGGCAAGAGTAGAGCACAAAGTACGTAATGACAACTCATGTTGTAGGATAAAAAGATGATTGCTCACAAACAAGGGAGGAATTCTATCCTCATGCATAAGAATGCTCATGCTTCAGAGGAAGATCAAAAGAAGCCATAAGGGTCAGTTGTGCAATGTTAAAGACAGGATACTGGTTGGACAGCCCTGAAGTATGAATCAGTATAACAACCACTTTGCTTTACAGGGGACTAATGGATCTTTCATTTGTTGCCTACAGTAATAGGTGGTAATGCACTTTAATAATGCACAAGAAATATATGCGCCCAACCCAACTGCTCTAAGTAACAATCCACATCCCTTTTTTCCGCCCTGTAAACCTACACTAACTTGAAAATAACCTGGCACGAAGGCCTGCCACAGGCTAATAAGGTAGTGCATTCCTAGGATACGTGCTTCTGGCAGAAAATGTTTTTGCTGTGGAACTTTAAAGAAGCAGAGCTGGATGGGATCTCCTGAAGCCATCTTGTCCAACCCACTGCCTGAGGCAGGATCATCCCTATCCAAACCATGTGATACAAATTCACTCTAAATTCCTAGCAAAACTACTGAAATCAACCCTCGCCTGGAACCCAAGACAACACCCTAACCTGCCACAGTTAAGGCAAGGGGACCATGATGGCAAAAGTCCTGCTGCTGCCAAGGTTGTTAATACATGCTCGACAGATCTTAGGAAGAGGACCATGACCCACACTACAGAGTTCATACCAGTTTGATCACAGCATACAATTCCTTCCCAACCCCAAATATGGGGAATTGTTCTGACCCTGAGGAGAAGGGCAAGACCTTATAGACTTAAACATGCAGGTTCCTGGCTAGACAGGAACACTGGCACATACCAGTCAAAGTCTCCAGCCTTGGCTGCAGCCAATACCCAGTGCTTCTGAACAAGGACAAAAAAGCCACCCTGCCACATGTAGCAGTTGGAGGTGGGATGAATTCCCTCCCAGCCCCATGCAGTAACCAGCAAAGGGCGGAAGCATGGGAAATACCCATAGAAGAACAGACATAGCTACGCCTGGATCATCCCCGACTAGTGGCTATCCAAACTCTTCTTGAACACATCCAGTGATGGAAAGTCCACAGCTTCCCTAGGCAGTCTACTCCACTGCCTCACTGTTTTAATAGTGAAGACGTTTTTTCTAGATATCCAGTCTAAACCTACTTTGTTGCAATTTCAAGCTGTTGGTCAGTGTCCTACTCTCTGCAGCAAGAAGAGGTGTTTTCCCTCTTCTTTATGGCAGACCTTCAAGTTTTTGAAGACTGCTATTATGACCCCACTACAGTGTCTTTCACAAGCTGAACATGTGTAGCTCCTTCACCCTCCCCTCCTATGACTTGTCTTCTTCTTCATATCCTTTTATAGATTTGCGGTATAACAATAAATAGAAAGTTCTTTCCATGCTAACCTCAAGAGCTCTAACCTGAAAGAGGACTAGACAAAGCAACTAAACCTTGGGTCTCACTCTTCTTCTTTTCCTCTCTGGCTCCCTAAGATGCTGCCCCACTTCTTTACCTCCCACATTTTTGCTGGAAAGGATTATTAATTTAGGAGGCTATCCCAATTTAACAGGGGATCCTCTATAAAGATTTCACTCTAAAAGCCACTTCCCTGGGGGCCCACTCCTCCATTTGTTCAGCTTCATGGTGCTGCCTCAGAACTTAGCACCGACTCTCACCCTCCTATCCCCACCCCTAGGCCTTTTGTAGCCTGCTATTGCAGCCTTTGAGCCTCTAGCAACCTACCGTCACAGTCACTGGGCCTCTGACAGCCCAACCAACAAGCACTCCATGCCTCCTTGGTACTAATCATGGCCTTAAGCCTCCCTCATAGCCATGCCCATGCCTCATGGGTATAAACAGTCAACAACGTAAAATATAGAGTTTCAGGCACTTATTTGTTAAGCAGTCCCTTGCAGTGTCCTCCCCTTAAGGGTGCATGCACCCTTGTTAGTCCAGTTCTGCAGCACCCCGCAGCAGCACAAAGAGTCCTATTTCAGCCTAGGCAGGGCCTAGACTAAGGCTCTTACCTCTGGTTTGTGTGTGCCCCTGCTCCTCCCCTTTCCAATCACCTGACCTGGGTTTCCCTTAACAGCACCCTAAATTTTCCATTAGCTTAATTGGATTACTTAACAGACTTACTAATTGCCTAGGGCTCAGGTCCTGCAGTCCCCTATTCACATGCTGGAGGCTCTTTTAGCTGTGGTGTCTGGTCTTACACTCAATAGTGTGGTGGGCATGTTTGTTATGGCTGCTTTTGTTTTTTCTTGGAGTGAAATGCTGAAAGTTTTTGCACGTGTACTATGAGACAGGGAAGAGTAGAACTGCTTGTTTCTCGAAAGCTATATCGCATGTTAGACATGATGTGTATTACTGCAAAAGTGTTTGTCACGGTGTGAAGTTTTAAATGTCCTGGAATGGTTTCTCTTTAGTGAGATTAATGTGTTTTTTTTTGTTTTTTTTTGTTTTGTTTTTTTTACTTTCTGTACCTGATCTTTTGTGAAATAAAGTAGTTAAAAAAGATGGAATATAACGATTGCCAGATAAAAGAATAGTGCTACCTAAAACAGCCTTTAGACCTTATCTACAACAACTTCACCAAAGCAAGCATTTAAGTTGCAAAAAACTTGCTGCTATCACTAATAGACTGTCCTACGCACCCGGAGTCTACCAGGAAGCAAAAAGGCTTTTAAAACACTGCAGTATATGCAAAAAGTTTAATATCAAAGGAGAAAAATCAGAACCCCCTGGAGCCCGCCCCTGGGCTTATACTCCCTTTAAAAGACTACAAATAAATTTTGCTGATATGCCTGAAGACAATGGGTACAAAAACCTTCTAATAATTGTTAACCAACTCACGGGGTGGGTAGAAGCCTTCCCCACCAGAAGAGCTACAGCACAAGTAAAAAAATACTCCTTAACAAAATTATACCCAGGTTTGGTCCTCCACGTATCATTGAAAGCGATCAAGGATCACATTTTACTGCTGACATAAATAAAACACTGACCAGCTGCCTAGAAATAAAATAAAAATTCCATACCCCTTGGCACCCAAAAAGCTCAGGACAAGTAAAAAAAATAAATCAGACCCTGAAACAAAAAATTAGAAAGCTATGTGCTGAGAGCGGATTAAAATGGACTAAAGCTCTCCCACTGGCTCTTATGTCCATCAGAACCACCCCCAAGAGAAAACTAAAGCTCAACCCTTACGAGCTGCTGTTTAGACACCCTGTTCCCCAACATTCCCCCTTATTACCAGCTCACACCTCCTCTCTTTTAAGCGATAAAAAACTCACCTCTTATATTTTATCTCTACAGTCTCAGTTAAAATCTCTCCATAGGTATGCTGCTTCAAGCCAACCTTTACCTGCCAATGTCCCAGCACATCGCATCCAGCCTGAAGACTGGGTGTATGTGAAAACTTGGAAACGGTCTCCCCTTAAACCTAAGGTAACAAAGACCGTATCAAGTCCTCCTCACCTCCCACACTGCCATAAAAGTAGCAGAAAAGGACAGCTGAATTCATTATACTCGTACAAAGAAGACAAAAGTTTCACCAAAGCTCAGGATTAGCTCCAATGCAAGCTTCCCTAACCTGGAAAAGAGAAAGCCAAAAGAAGACGACCGCAGACTTCGCGAAAGCACTGCACGCCCACCTGACCGCGACAAGAGTGAACCAGAAGCAGACGAAAATATAAAAACAAACACCTCCTGGACCTGCAGCCCATTAGATAATATAAAACTCAAACTAACCAAAGTCCACTAATAAACTATCACCCTTTTGGCGTCCTGCCCAGAACACCGAACTCCAAGTACTGCATCCTTTAAACACTTTTAGATCAGCTAAAACCAAGCACTTTAAAACGGTAACGTGCCCCAGAAGAACAGTTATTAAAGCTGCAGGGTTGTTCATACTGTTTGTGCTGATTTTTGTTATAATATAGTTTTTATAACTATATTATTTCTAATCTTTCTCTTTGCTAGAGAAATAAAGTCTTTTACAGAGGTCAGCTATAGCTACCAGTTGCTGCAAATGTGCTAATCCTGGCACCTGCAGTTTTCCTGTCTAGATAAGCAATTCAATCAAACTCTCTAAAATAGACAGAAAAGTCGACATTGCTCATTGGTATCCTCCCCCACATTGCTGTAGTTCAGCAAAAGTCCGAGTATTTACTTATGGAACAGAATATTGTGTAAAGCCTAGCCACCCAGTTTTCAAACAATTTGCAGTCTCCTCAAGCTAAGACTACTCTTAAACCTACTATTGCCCATATCTCTAATAACAATATATACCTCCAATACGTTGAGAGAGCTGCTAAAGCAGAAAACCAAAGTAACTGTTGGGTGTGCAGTCATTTTCCTCTCCACACCCAAGGAAGAATTCCCGTAACTCCCATCCCCTGGGGCCCCATCGAGTCACTTTTAAACCCCTCTAATAACCAAGCTTAAGAACAAAGTCAGCAGGAGTTCCTTTTAGTAAAGCCTGTTGTTAGAGATTGGTGTTTTTATGTAAACTACTCAGTATCAAACTGCATCAATTTAGGCACCAGCATATGTCACCACTATTTTACTAGTTCAATTAGAGGAGACTGGCGTAATAATAATACAACAACTCCTACCTGCTGCAGCTCTTACAATGATTTCTACAGCGGCAAAAATTTAACCAAGGACACTAATCCTATCTGCACCCCCATCTCCTCTTTAAATAATACCTTGTAGTATTGTTTATACACTAATACCTCCCGGGAACAATGCTTCTTCAATGAAACTGCAAATCCTTCCTTTAAATCAAAGGGTGAGCGCGGAGTACTAGAACTAGGAAATGGTGGCCGAATACCTCCTAAGTATTCAAACCTTGCTGCTTTAAAAGAACAATACTGGGTCTGTGACTCCTATGCCTACCATAAAATCCCTGCCAAAGGAAAGGGTATCTGCTATCCGGCAATGCTAAAACCCTCTACGTCCTTCGCCACGCACCTTCCACGGGGCAGGTGGCGAAACGAGAGATTTGCAAAAAAACCGTAATATAGTAGACAAATATCAAAAAACTCCACTTACCAAAGGAGTATTACTCAAGTGTTCCCTTACAAGTATGCTCCCGGGAATAGGCACTGTGTGTCTTGGAAAATTTACATTACGCCTCCAAGCTGTGATAGAAATCATGGCTCACAAATTCAGCAAAGGGCACAAAGACCTCTTGAAGGCCGTTGCTGCCTTAGCTGACACCCAAGAAGAACTCCAACAAACAGTAATTCCAAACCATATAGCCCTTAATTTTCTCCTCGCCACGCAAAGGCGGGTGCATGCACAGTCATCAAACCAGAATGTTGTGTATAGGTTAACAGTTCTTTTACCATAGTTCAAACCCACCTCAATAATACAGCTGTACATATCCAAAAAGCCGAAGATGTAGCTAAAATCCCCAAAAATGCATCTCTTAGCTGGCTTACTAACTGGTTCTCTTCCCTTACAGGATGGCTTAGACCTTTTATATTAAGCATAATCGGAATTGTTATAACTATAATCTGCCTATTGTGCTGTTTTCAGTGTTCATGCTCTCTAGGACAACAGTTTATGCAAAGGCAAGTAAAAATGTATGGTCAGTTTGTATAAATATCCAGCAACAATCATCAAAACCTAACCCCACAGGAATTTAAATACCTAAAAGTATATTCCAAAAATTCCTCTAGAAATTTAAAACAAAGAGGGGAACTGTGGTGGGCATGTTTGTTATTACCCTGAAATAAAATAGTTTTCTGATAGCATACTGTTAGGTTAACAATAATTTAGATTATTAAGAAGTATTAGCTTTACAGCTAAATACAAGGCATGACCTGTGGCCTAGCAATG